TGGTGTGTGTGTGTGTGTGTGTGTGTGTGTGTGTGTGTGTGTGTGTGTGTGTGTGGTGTGGTGTGTGTGTGTGATGTGTGGTGTGTACACGCCATACACAATCGCACTCCTGATTATTACGAAACATAAAACATGCGTTTTTCGATATTGACTATAATAATAATCATTTAATTGCAAGTGGCTCCTTAAAAATTACTAAAGAAATTACTAATGTTTATTACTTTGTTGCATTAAAAAGCGATTATTTGTTGAGTGCCGAGAAAACGTGACCCCAAAATCTGATACTCGCAATAAGAAATTATTTTGTATTTTAATTGGCAATTAACGAATTTAAAAATGCGTATTGATTTCTTTCGAACTTGCTCACACTCAAACAATACGATGTTTTAAAATTTCTAATGTTTTATAAAATGAGCAGAAAGATATTTTACATCCGAATTTTTAAAGACATTTTTGAAATATATTATTTTAAGGTAGCTTTTTAAAACATCTTAAGCATGCGTCGAGTATTAATTTTCTTGTTGGAAATATTAACAGATTTCTCTTTATTTCGACTTAATTAATACAGCAAACTGAATGTTAAACTGAATTCTTTCGCTTCATATGCGATTTCATAATCGATATAATTTAAAAGTCAACGGACCAATGGCTGAATCGCTAAAAAATTAGATAGATCCTAATCTACAATTTCCATGTCGTCCGCTTTTCCTTTTAGTTAATCAATTTCTAATTTTTAATATACAATTCCAACGTTCAATCTAATAATCTAGTTCGAAATTAAGATATCTGTTGCGCTCGAGGGCGCGTCGTGACCACCTCGCCATGCGTTATCAGTTTCATTTCCCGCGGAAGAGAGCCGTCCTTGCGTTCCCCTGAAAACATATTGGCGCGCCAAGGATCCAGGGAGGTGGGGGAGGATTTCAAGGGGGCGGATAGAGAACAGTGAAATGGAAAAAGGTGTACCGTTCTCCGACAGGAGAGGTAAACGAGCGAATAGTTCAGTGCGACGCGGCATGACTAGGTGAGGTGAGGTGAGGCGCGGGACGGAGGCGACGCGCACGACGCTTCATCCCCACCACTACGGTCTCTTGCGCGGCACGGTGAGCTTGCGCGCGCGGCTTCACACTCGCTCGCGAGACGCCGTAGCGACAGGTATTGGGTGCACGTCGTCGCGCAATCCGCCTTGCTCTTCCTGCCTCGTGCGATGTAAACACGGCCCACGTTCGGCAGGTGGTCACAAGCTGCGAACGCGCCGGTACTGTTTCCGCGAGTATTAAGGGAACGCGGAAGAACATCCGCGCGAAAAAGGGGGGAGCGAAGCACGGGGCAAGTTGTATAATATCGTGTTACGCGCCCGCGTTTGGTAATCGACAGTGATCGTGACAGTGCATGACGTCCTCCTGGTCCCGTTCGTCCGCAATCGAGAGCGCGCGCAGTGCATCGTTCCTTCTCTCTTTCTTTCCACCGGACGGTGCAGTGATCTCCCGTGCCAGTCGCGGACCTGGGTTCTTGCGAGTTCAATTCGAGTGTCGCATCGAGAGGAAGTTCTTCCCTTCCTGGACACGGTTCTCTTCCTTCTTCGTCCGAGACAGCCCGGCGGCAACGACGTCGTGGGAAAGGGAGCAACGTTGCGGATTTATCGGTGAGTGATTTATCAATTTTCTTGTCTCGCTTCAAGGAGGATCGGTCGACTGAATGCTCGATATATCGAAGTGAACTTCACGCGACTAGGATTTAATTCTTTCAAATTAAATATTTTAGGATGACATTCTATAGAAAAATAAAGTGCGAAAATATCGATGATGTCAATATTTATTTATAAAATTATTTAATATCGATCGCGGAAGAGAATTTCTGGGAGCTTTTAGTCTCCGGTTGTAATTTCAATTCTAATTCATGCCAGTCAAAAACTGAAGAGCAGAAAATAATTAACAATGATAAATTTAAATTACGTGGCTTTTGTTGGCATTTGTCGTTGTCATTGCCATCGACTTCACGCGCCGAGCTGTTTGTCTCGTTAAATTTTATTTGCGTTGCACTTAATGTTTCCCTTTGTAAAAATAGTTGAATATCGAGTCGAGACACGTTGATATACACATGGGTAGGCATATTTCTGAATAATAACGAAAGGATTAAAGCCTTAAAGCTTGGAAATAAATTATGCGCGCGCCGTTCGCGGCTGCGCGTGAATGCATGAGTAATGCGTATTGAAATAACGCGATACACAATTAACATGCTATGCCACACGCGCGGCATTTACCCGGAATAATTTGAATAGACAAATTGTCGATTATTCGAGCGGGCGTCATGATATACTTCACACTGGTGATTTATTTTCGCGGCGGTGGACGCGCGAATTTTTATCATTTATCGCGATAATGGTGCACACCGAAACGACAGGATCGGCAGACATTAATATTAATGTACGAGATGTTTCTCTGCTTATCTGCAGCTACGAACATGACGAGATTATTATTCACGAATATGTTTGTGCGTGATTATCGCTATTGGTACTAAAATTGAGGAAAATGGATCGGTGTGAAAAATTTGTCATACTTGTAAAATAAAATTGAGAGCAAATTTCAAATGTTGTGTTTCAGATTGTTTTTCTAGAAATCTTTTTCTGGAAATTTTTCTTTGAAACTTATGACTTCCTAGTTTTATTTGAAACGAAATTAGAAAAATGACAAAATATTTGCATCAACCTAATAGTTTGAATTTTTCTCAAAAAAAATCTGGATTTAAAACATAATACGAACGGCTTCGGAAATTTATAAATATCTGCGTTTGTTTAAAAAATAATATGTTTGATCTAAAAATTTAATTTAATGTCGGAATTACCGAGCGATTGTTTCTGACTATTTCTATTTTTTCTTATTTTTTTTCCTGTTTTCCTATTTTTTAAATTATTTTTAAATTATTTATATTAAAGTTACGATTTTGGAACTTTTTAATTTTTCGCCGATCACTTTCGTTTATATTCTGATGAAATATTAAAATCAGAAAAATTTTTTTTAAATCCTCTTTTTAATATCAGAAAAAAAATATTGATTTAAAAATGTAGAAAAACGTAAAATGTAAAAGATATCGAAGATATCGTGGAGTTGGAAAAATTAAAGATTAACAGCTCGATGCATCGAGTCCTTCCAGTTTGTAATAGTAGAAAATAGATCGTGACCAATATCGTCGAGAAAATTGCGACATTCGCACGTGGGCACAAGTACGCTCATTGACACGGCGAACGGGTTGCACGCCCTATTTCCATTCGTATGTACCTTTGCTACTCGTGTCGTCGTGCGCGTGTGTGTGTGTCGTATGTTGTGAGAACACAGGTGATATCTACATACGTCGTCCAGGGTCCGCCGCGATTAGTTTTCGACTATCTCGACTGACGTTAACCTGCTTTCATTTTGAACATTACATCGCGATACCCGGTACAGGCAATTATTTATTCATCGTGAATACGTCGTTATCGATAAATTTATTTTCAGATTACGCAAACGGTCTGTTACAGTTTAAACGTGTTGTTTCTCTTACTGTGTTCAACAAGAACAGCTCGTTTTAAACGCCGTTATATTTTAGAATGTCGTCTCCCACGGTGCTCGTACATAAAAAATAGTTCTCTTTAATCGCGTTTTAATTGCACCGAGCATATAATTGTCGAATTGACGAGCCACCTTATATTTCAAATCTAGGAAAGTCTAAAAAAAAGAAGATCGAGAGAGCGAAAGGGTGACAAGAAAAACGAAAGATAAGGGAAAAGAGTGAGAGAAAGGGTGG